ATTCTGTATTTATTCTTCAGTCATTTTGATCATTGTTTACTACTTTAATTTATTTTGATTAAATCATTTTCAATTCACATCAATTCACGTATCTTTCGTATACGGTAGAATATTTATATTATAAATTTAATTTTTATCCATCAGCTTTATCTTTCACTGCAAGTACTGGTATCAAGAAAAAAAAAATAGGAATTTGTAAGTCAAACGGTTAATGAGAACATTTTCTATCTTTTGTAATTTCCACAATTTAATTAATAAAAGGTAACTAAGAAGGGTTGAGTAATAAGCGTGCATTGATTGTAGTTTTAATTATTATTTCAATACAATTATAGATACATTGTAGAACATTTTATTACATAAAAATGTAGATTTCACCCAACTAAAGAAAAGATCATAATTTTCTTTAGCATCTCTGCATCATCGATGATGATGTTTTATCTATATACCATTTCGAAATTATTTTCATTGCTATATCGATAGTATTACCTAAAAAAAGAACATATAAATATTATTAGATTTATTAAAAAGAAAGATAATAAAAAAAATTGCAAAAACATTTTCTGTTTTGACAATATATTAATATAAGTCGAGTACTTATTATATATAATGTACTTATTATAATAAGTACATTATATATAATAAGTACAATTGAGAGAATCATAGCCAATCCCTCGACAAGTAGGATCTTAGATGTTAAAACACCCCTCACAAACGTAATAGAAATCGATAGAAATCAGTTGAATATGTTGTAGATTTTGATATTCTGAACAAAATTTCAATGGGCACAATCTCCGATAATGACTAGTTTTTGAGATTGTTAAAATATATAATTTTTGTTTGAAACAAAATCTGCATTCATTCCCAGAAAGTTTATGCGTATATAAAACAAAAACTTTTGCTGATTAAATAAAAGCAATTAATACGATGTTTGTAAAAAATCAATAAAAAATAGTAAATACCTTTCGCTTCTATTGGATAAAACTTTACGGAGAAAGTAAAAGGCTGTTCGATTTCATGAAATATCCTGTCGTTAATCTCGGTAATGTTGAGTTTGGTGTTTTGGACTAGCGATTTTGTAAGGGCTTTCAAGAAAAACTCCCATCTAGGCTTAAAATAATCTGCAATCACTCCTGACCATTGTTTGTTCGCATAATCTCTAATTTCGCCATTTGGGCCCCATAAAGTAATTTGATTTCTCGCATTATATTCGTAAGATTGTCTTTCATCATTCTCAATGGCCATACCTTTTGCTTGGGCTAACCAATTACCCAGCAAAAAATTATTTCCTGTTGCTAGAATAGACTCAAGATCGTCGAAAAGTTCCAATAGAGCATTTGCAGATGATCTATGATATGATTTATTAACAGACATAAAATTGCAAAATATTTCAAGTATATATTGTAAATTTTTATATAGTAATACTTATACGTCGATTACATAAAATGTTTAGCTATTAACATTTTGAAAGATTTGCTTAAATTTTATGATATAATTATTTTAAAAATTACTTTTCTAATTTTCTTAATTTCTGCAATTTCTCTATTCTTTTTAAATTGTAATTAATATTTAATTAATATTTAAAATTAAGAATTACAAATAAAATTATTTAACAAATTAAGAAAACAAAGTATTAAATGTAATATAATTACAAGATATATTAATACTTTATCAATGTACTTACTGAAAAGCAGTGATATTCTTTTTCTTATAACAATCTAACATATGTATATAAATATCGTCGGCCATTAATTGAAGTGCTTGTCTGGTTACATCAACCACATCGTGTCTGTAGAGAGTACTATTTCCTCTACCATATCTCGCTTTTAGAAATACATTCCACATATAATAAAAATTTTCTCGATTATACCAGATCTATAATGAAACATATGTTATTATTTTATATTATATGATTTAAAATTTAGATTATTTGTTATTAATTCAAGAAATTGTTTTCTTCCAAAATCTTCCAATTTTTCTTTTATCTATTTTCCACTTATCTAGCTATTTCTAACTATATCTCTTTCGTTACATTAAATGTTAAACTTTTGCATATATGCTCTGTTATGTTACAGAGAACATAAAATTGAACATAAATCAATTATAATTATTACTATGTGTTTCTACCCATGGTGAAATATTTAAACTTGGTCGTCTAGTAATAACATAATGTCCTCTGATTCTTTGTGTGCCCATAAAATTATAAACGGTTCTGCCAAGATACTGCCAAGTAGCCACTGTATATTCATTCCATGCGCCATACCTTCGAGTAGCATAATTTTCAAACCTGTTAATCAATGATCTTTTTATGATTTAGCTTACTCAATCAAGTAAATAATTTAATTAAAGAATTAGAACTTATTACCGATAGCTTATCTAGATTAAAATATTAAGGAATTAATTCATCTCAAATGATATAATGGTTTTAATATTAAAAAAAAAACTTTAATTTTTCAGTTTTATTTCTATATATAAATAGTTCAAGATTATCAATATTTTATTTATATATTTTATCAACATTTTATTTTTACTTATTTTTTGTTTTATATGGTGGCTACTTTAAAATATGGCAAATAATAATTTTTTTATTTATGTAAATGCAAATATCTTAGATATTAGAGAGTCCTATAGCTTTGAAACAAAATTTTCATTTTGAATAAAGTTCAGATTATATTTTTAGTGTTTACATTCAAACCCCTTAAAATTCCTACGGATAAGATGAAGAATGGCTAAGCTATACTATTTTGCACATTGGATATTTTTATTTTCTATTTTATATAAACATAAGTTCAATAGTTCTATTAAATATTATTAACAACTATAAATTGACATTAAATTTTTATTAATAATATTTTTTTCAACTTTGTAAATATTTAATTTTTTTCAAGCATAATAGAAGAATTTTTTATAACACCTTTCTTTATTCAATATGTTAAGTGACACATCTGGAATTTAAGAATATGATTAGATTATATTGATATTTTTCTTATATGATTATATGTATATGATTCTATCAGAGTTTTTTAAACAGGAATTATAATATACAGTTAACTAAAATACATGAAAATAGGTGAGATACATATTTTTACCAAGCGTCGAGATCGACGGGCTCATGACGATATGCCATCTCGTTCATTAGCTCATAAATTACATAGTTCTGGTTGATACCCTCGGGTGTTAGACCAGTTCCTACCATAGTGCTTCTATTCATGTTTCTCGCTTCAAATGGGCGCTAAGAAAAATGTTACCTTATTATTCTGCTTACATAACTAAAGATATATGGGAGCCTAGATCTAGGCTAAAATATCATTTTGAATATTTTTAAGATTTTATCAAATAACATATTAAAAATCATTTTTAAAACATCTGAAAATGATGATTTGTAAGATGATTTTGAGCTTGAACAATTATTTATTAATTATTATTGATTGTAATACTAATTAATCAAAGTATATAACACTATCAATTTAAATATAATATATGTAAAAATATTTTATCAGCTTTAGAAAATCAAGTCTGAACTATAATAACATGTAGTCATAGGCAGTACAAGTAGTTTAGATTAGACTGGTAAAGTGGAAGTGATTTTAGGCGAAAAGAGAGAAATAGGATTAAGGGATGGAATTTTCTTCTCATAAGGACATGGATTAGTTTGTTTGTTTGAATCTCGTACAAATTTTATAAAAATAGGTTCCAATTTGGCTGAGACTTTGAAAATTTATAGTTTACGTAATCCTGATGAAAAATTCTCACTGTCCCAATTTAATTCATTGAGCCATATAAGCTGTAGGAATCATCAAAAGTAGGAAATAGATGACTTTCGCTGCTATTATGTAGGCAAATATCTCTTTCCTCCCTCTCTTGCTCCTTTTTTCTCTTTCTTTTCCCCTCCCTATTCGTGTACGTGCATTCGTATGCGCGCGTACGTGTGTGTGTGTCTGTATAGTGTGTGATCGTTTGCGTTCGCGCTCGTTCGCGCTCGTTCGCGTTCGTTCGCGTTCGTTCGCGCTCGTTCGCGTTCGTTCGCGTTCGTTCGCGTTCGTTCGCGTTCGTTCGCGTTCGTTCGCGTTCGTTCGCGTTCGTTCGCGTTCGT